CTTGAAAAATTGGCTTTTAGCGAAAAATTGTCGCGCCCGAGAAAAAACCGGAAAAGGGTCTGGGGCGAGAGCCGTGTGACGTAGCTTAAGGGACGGAAGTTCGAATTCACATGTGAAGGAGTACTAAAAAGCTATTGGGAAGACATATGTTTTCCAGCACTCATGGTTCTCAATGTGACTCAGAATACAATTATATTCCTGGGTATATTATACAGGATGAACCAAATGATACTAGTCACAATTGGAACTCTAGAAGCAGTTTCTTTAGGCGATTATAATGCATATTGGTGATATTGCCTTTATGCCGATGAGCCGTTAGCGAGCCGCCGAGCGGCCCGAGCCAAGAATGCTACGCGCGCGATATCTAAAACTATGCGGAACACAAGGAACAAAACGTTAGAACGAAGATTAGACGGCCCTGAAGATATTAAAATCATGGTGAGCGTAAGCATAGATTTATTTAACATTTTAACGTAAAATAAGTATCTCGGGTGATATATTTTTTATACGGCATCAGTCACACCAAACACACTTCCCTCACCTGTATCATATTTCACAAGTGTAAATGCGGCGATTGTGCGATAATATACATACTGTATACAATATACCACACACGCTGGAATCTTGTAGGGAAGCTCTGAAGGATAACTTGGTTTTAGAAGATGTGCCACAGCCGCCGTGCTGTATCACTCTACACTGGGGATTCAGGCCCATTTGTTTGGAAAAATGGGCTCTATGAAAACTTGCGAGAAAATACAATCGTTCGTATTAAATAAACGTGATCACAGATAAACACTGTAGCTTCAAACAAGAATACGTACGTAATTTGCTCTGAACCAGTCTGTTTATATTTTCTTTGATCTCATGTCTTGTATTTTCTTGCGAAGGTGAGGGAAGTGTGGTTTTAACTCTTGGATGTGACTGATGCCGTATGAGCCCGTATCCAGGCAAAATATATCAGCCAGAGATATGTACTTATTTTACGTTACAATGTTAAAATAAATCTGTTTACACTCACCATAATTTAATATCTTCAAGGCTATCTAATCTTCGCTGTACATCTCGTTTTGTTGCTTGTGTTTTGTTGATTTTTTTAGATATCGTGCGAACCATTCTTCGCCGGCTAGCGGTTCATTGGCATAAAGGCGTGCATCATAATCGCCTAAAATTTTGCTATCAACTGCTTCTAGAGTTCCAATTTCGTGACTAGTATCATTTGATTCATCCTCTATAATATATCCAGGAATATAATTGTATTCTGAGTCACATTGAGAACTATGAGTGCTTTCCGAATCCGAGCAACTGCCTGACATGCTGGAAAATATATCAAATGTATAATGTGCGTCGAAATTAAGTCCCTTAAGCTACGTCACACCACGCTCGTCCCAGACTCTTGTTGATACGCGACAATTTTACGAAAATCGCTGTTTAGAGCCTCGTATCTCGCGAATGAAAAGAGAAAACCGAAAAATGTTAAAGAACCTATTAACTAACTTTTTGCCCTCTACCAAATATCAAAAAAAAATTTTGTGACATAAGCACTTTAATGCTAGACGCATCTACCACATTATATAGACTATATACACAGATTTATCACACTAAGAAACCAAAACTTTATAAAAATATAGAACTGACAGTGGCCAAAGTCCAAAACAAATGTAAGCGTAAGTTGCGTAACATTAGACTTAAAAAAGCTTTAGAAATTCGATAAAAATTCGAAGACTCTAGCGAGTTTAAAATTTGTGTTCTGCGCATAGAAAGCGCGCACGACCACAATTCCATGCGCTTAATAACATTTAGTTCAGAATTACCCCCTCTCTGCATATATTAAGCTGCTGCTACGCTCGCTCGCTTCAGGCTCGCTCGCTCCGCAGCAATAATATTCTTGAAAATATTAATATACCTATACCTAATGTCTGTATACAATAATTTGTAAAAATATTATTGTCATGTGAATACACATATCCTGTTTAGCAGAGTGACCTAGACTGGTTTAAGATGCAAAAAAATGATGCATTGTCTTTTATTATTATTTAATACCAGACAGACGAAAGAAAATCCAACACCAGCAGAGCTAAACGGTGAGAAAACACCTGGCCAAGAGCCAGGTAAAATTATTATCATTTGGTTACATGGTGGGCGTTAAGTTTTAATATATATATATATATATATATATATATATATATATATATATATATATATATATATATATATATATATATATATATATATATATATATATATATATATATATATATATATATATATATATATATACTATTAAAAGAAATCATGGGCGTGAGGGAGTCTATATATGTGATAAAGATTCATGTTAATCTACATAAACTTTAACTTTGATTTTCTCGGTTTAGACAACGTTTATTTTTAAAATTACTTCGCCAATGAACTCATAAGATGAGTCGTTTTCGGCTCGAGTTTGTATATCCGATACAACACGTCTGCTCATGTTGTAAATAGTACTAAGTTTCCGAACGTTAAATATCAGAGCGACTTTTGTAATTACGATTTTAATTTGTTAAACTTTATAAACTTGCTAGTCATATACAAACTTAGAAACCGAAATATGCAATGAACAATTCAGTATTTTATATAGGCTGAATTCTGTCGAGAATTCTGTACTCTTCAATTAGTACTTATAAATCTATTATCTACACCCGCATGCAGTAATGTACACTGTATAACTTTATAACTTTGTCTTGACGTCTTTGTCCAGTATATTACCCGTCTTATAGTAACACCTGCAAACGCTTGTAAAGTAATCAAAACATCGCGAAATATTTTAGGTGATATTGTTCGATTTTAGTACACTGTCTGTTCAAAACAATAGCTCGACAAATTCTAACGGATTTTACAATTGTTCCATATTGTAAATTTGTAGACTGGTTTATATATAACAAATATATCTCTCAGCTCTCGCATATAATCGGTTTAAGATATGAATATACGTACAAATGAAGATATGAAATGGTCAAGATTAAATGTTTTATTGTTTTGAAACTTTTGACGACTCAAGCCTCAAGGTCAAAGACATAGTCAAAGGTCAAGCCCCACAATTTTCGTGGGTAAAGCTGTGATTGGCTAATTTTGAGGAAAGGAATTCTTGGCCAAAGTAAGCATACCAGGCCTGTAAGCATACCTTACGTGAGGGCTCAGCCCGCTAAGTAGGTATGCGCAGGAGACTAGTCTGCAGCAGTGAACTCTAAAAATAACTGGAAGGCTAACTCCTATGATGAAAGTCTATGATTCGTTGAAGCCGGCGCGCGGGAAAATCAGCTTTCAAAAGGACTAAGGAGAGTTTCTAGGAGTGAAAAAAATTCTGCCAAAAGTTTGTTTTCGAGCAAAAATTTGCAAGAAAAACACTTTTTCCATGGGAATACAACAATGATTGGGATTTAAACCAGGTTTTCCGATTAGTCCCAACTGTTTTACATCTCTCTGCAGCAAAAAGTAAGGAGTTTTGCTTTTGTATTTTGAAAAAATGACGAAAGTTTGGACGTGCCGAAGGAAACCTCGCCGTTCAACTCAAAAATATATACTATAAAACATTTTGACAGTCCCAAAATTTATGTTGTACTAAACCCTAGGTATTGTTATTGATCCTGAGCTTTTAGTCCTTGTTTTAGTCGCTTTTAAACATAAATAAATTGGCGTTTTTCAAGTGATGTTATTTTCGTCATCGGCATCTTGTTGGCCACTATGAGCATTTTGAATATGGCATATTTTTGTCAATTTTCAAATGCTTTTTTTTCGACCTTAAAACTTTCAATCTTCTTGAAACTTCGCATACAGATGTATTTTGCATGGGTTTAAATAATTCCTGAGGTATGACGTCTTAGTTTTATCTTAAACTTCCAAAAACTCAGAAAAAGCAGCCTAAAACGCGCGGTTTTTCTGACCGTTCATGCTTATGGCCGTGTTTTTTCGTATTTTTTTGCTAATACGTGATTTGTTTGCTTTGCGAATATTAAATTCATTTATAATACTACTGATATAAATTAAATTTGGTAGTATAACTAATATTTTGGGGCAAGATTTTTCTGATCGAAAAATGTGCATATTTTGAAAAAAAAAATTAAAAAGGACTGGGTCTACCTACAAAAAAAGCTTCAAGCACGGCTTCAACTTCCCCCCCTGACTTAGCCTTCCAGTTATTTATAGTTCAATGGACTGAATACAATAGGTTGCCATCGCGATGCTCGCGCTATATGACGAATTTTGACGAATTTGACACTTACTGGCAAAATGGCGGCTATAAAAAAATCTCGGACATAATTTTCGCAGAGTGACACATCTTTATAGTATCTAATCTTTGCTACGGCTCTGTTGTCAACAGCTTGCGACAGACCTGTTACCGCAAGCCTGTTACCGCCTGACGAAACCAACAGACCTGTCGCGACTTGTTGACAACTTGCCGCAAGCCGGTAAAATCAACAGCTTGCGACAGACCTGTGAGATTTCTGGCTGTGTACTAGGAAGGTAAGCTTCTGTGAGGAAGGTAAGCAAAGTGTTATACAGCTTTGTCACACAGTTCTTTTCAAAAAATATGGGGGAGGGGCGGTTGCAGTGTACGCTATTGGTCATACACGGCCAAGTTCGCGCAACTTGCAGCAAGTCTGTCATCAGGCCGCATGCGAATTGTTGCCATCAAGCCCCATCTCAGAAGCGTTCGCTCGGCTTGTTGCGGCTTGACGATACTTGCCCGCATCAGCACGACAACAGGCTTGCTGCGATTTGATGTCGACAGACCTGTCGCAATGGCGATGACAACAGACTTGCTGCAAGTTGTCGTTAACAGACCTGTCGCAATGGCGATAACAACAGACTTGCAGCAATTTGATGTCGACAGAGCTGCAGCAATGGCGATGATAACAGACTTGCAGCAAGTCCGCAGTTGACATGACAACCAACGATTAAACATGCACTCGTTATTCCCGCGTGTTTTCACACAAATTCAAAAAGCAAAAAACACTCGCTTCAAAGTACTTTAGATCATTTTATTTATCGTATATGTAACTGATCATAATACAATTTTACATGTGAAATTACAATAAATGCAAAAACATTGCTAATATATACTGAAACCGATGAAATATACTTCACTATTTCAACGCTTAAAAAGTATTCTCAATTCGTATTTTCGTAGCTGATAGTGATAGTCATAGACAATATCAAAGCCATAAACAATGCTGTTTATATAAACTACAGAGGCCGGTTGTACGAATGGTGGATCAGAATCGCTATCCGGTGGATAAGTCGCTATCCAGCGGATAAATTTTATCTGGAGTGAAAATCGCGTTGTACGAAGCTTGGATAGCGCTTTACAACGGATAAAAATGCACCATCCGTTGGATAAATTTATCCGAAGGTAGTTTAAATCATTTAAAAGAGATTGCTATTGTGATAGAAATGGACAAATATACCGTTTAGAAGTCCCTTTTTTGACACTATAATAAACATGG